AATCGGTTTTTGGAGCTTCTGGCAATATATGCGTCACAACTAATTATTCATGGATTGTCGAAGCAACCTACAAAGCAGTTATTAAGGTCATTTAACTTTCATATCATAATGGCTAATATACCTGAGTTCCATTTCTTCGAATGTCTCATATGGTTTTTTCATGAAAAACCGTTCATCAGAAGGCCTTGATTCCGACAGATGCAAGCCACGTAGCTGCTTGGACATACGCTCCTCTCTTCGCACCTTTTTTCGAACACTACATATGATGAAAAACATGTTAAACTGATGATTAAGGACCTTCTTTTCGTGCAATTCTACGAATTAGATTTTATCTACCACGCTCGTCACTTATTCATATTAATTATTGACAGTTTGCGTCACGGTTGCAAGATGTGTAAAAAACAAAGAATTTACCTCTAGTTTTCGTCTTGTTGAACATTCCGTTTTTAGTTATTCATCTTATTTATTTACGGCTTAGTGGTCTTGTGCGAGATTCTTTCTCACATATCAAGAGGGTCAAAATTAACTGCTGCTTTAACACATTCGTGTCAGACAGTGCAAGCACATTTCTCGAACATGTTCTGGTATGACAGTACAACAACTACACGATAATGTGCATATTATTTGCAGGTTCACGAATTCATAACATGAATCAACACTTAAAAACAAACACTTGAATTTGAACCCCTCCAATCCAAAATGCAAAATGGAATAAATAGCCAACCGTGGTATGCCACCTCTCCAATTACTGCCTGCAGCAACAGAAATATCAGTGCTTAACGAAACACTACAGGCGACGAAACCAAACTCAAATTCGAAGGCTACAAAGCGCAATACAGCAAAAGTGGGTTAATTCGAAATTCAGTGGACAAAGTAAAATTGAAAATTACGTAGAACATGGTCATACCATAATGCACAACATAAATACAACAATAGAAACGGACCATCTGAATCCAACGCAGATTAAACATTAAGCCTGAAAGCAAATTTCATAGCTCACCTACAACACAAAGGATAGCGCTTTATCAATATTACACGGTTTATACTTAATATACAGGATAAAATACTTATTCAAAAAATCAAATATGAAAAACAAAATAACTCATTTAAAAGAGTCATTAGAAACATCCACATCCAGTTGTAGTTCACATCGTTACTTCTTCGCCAACTTTCCGAGCTCTACCGCAATCCGCAAGGCCAACGATATTAAATCGAATCTGAAAGACCTGCAACTATCTACTGGACGTCTTGAAATCAAGGATATTCAATTTTTATATTTTTAATCGCAGAATTTGCCATTTCATTCAGCCAGCTCTGCTATGGGTTTGCCGCTCATACTAGCCACGAATACTCCAAATAATTTTCTTTCAATTCTTTGATTTTTGCCATTCGGAACAGCTGTCAGATACTGGAACTGCATTTACAATTAAGAAAAAGTGACCGAAGTTATCAGAATTTTCACAGACGTTGTTACTATCATAATGACAATAATCAGAATTATGTCGTGATTATAACTGCCACAAATTCCATGATAACGATGATAGATAATACGCATATCATGGCAGATAATTATGATCCTCATGATCATCACGTAAAGAATTGCGATCATGATTTTCATGTGATACAGATCATAACACAGTAATCATTAAGACTAATGTTTGACTTCTTGAGAAGAGTCGTATAATCATATCTGCTATCACTGTCATAAAAATAACTACCATACTGAACATAATGATGATTGACGGATTATGATATTCATACACATTACCGCCATCAAAATCACAATAATGATGACTTTCTTGATAATGATCATTATTATGATTGCAACAACTACTATAATTATCATGATTATAGCCGCAATCAAAAAGTTATGATCTTCATAGCAAGCATAACGATTGTTATCATGATCATCAAGCTTCGCTGATCATCGATACAATGATGTCCATGACCATTTTCCTACACAGGGCTTTAAAACGATAACTACCATAGTTATCACTGTTATCAACATAACCACCATGATGGTCGATGAATTATGATACTCATAAATATGACCGTCATAAAAATGACAAGTGATAATTTTTGTGATAATGTTCATGACTATGGAAACAACGATAGTCAGATTATTATGATCCATATGACCAGTGGAAAGGGGGGATCAAAAAATTCAATTTTCAAAAGAAACAGAAATTTTGTATAAAATAAAATATTTGGAAAACATGAAGAAAAAATCGACAATTAAGTGAACACATAGTAACTAGACAGAACAGTCTCACAGTAATCAAAATTTGCTTCAAACATGGCAAGAGAGGGACATAAGGCCTGCCCTTGTCTGGATCTTGGAGGATTTTGGCTAAGGACAATAAAATGGATATGCAGTAGAGTTTCATCCGTGAATAGATGCTAATAAGGCGCGATCAAGTTCACGAACTGCTTAACAGCTTATCAGGCAATGAATAATAATTATTATTCACAATGCGTCGCAGATATTGCCTGCAAAATTAGATTAAAACTCATTGTGACCAATTTTAGAGGCCTTTCAAGAGTCTCCAAGACTAGAGAACATAGACCACAGAAAAGACGACAGAAGTTGTACAGGGAAAGAATGACAGAATATACACCAAATCATACGGTACAACGATTTCTTTGGATGGACACAGGTAATGGAATATCCATTGCTTAGAATGAAGCAAAAATCTACTTTTTGGCCATTGATTCAACGTATTTAACCCAGGAAAATCGGTATGAGAATGACACTAAAACACTGTATTCGCATGCAAGGATATCTAACGGGTTTCTATATCTAGTAATATACGAATATACATATAGTTCACTGTACAGAGCTCGGTTAATTTTTAAAAAGTAACCGTTAACGTATAGGACTAAAGTAATCACATATTAATAACATAAGTATCATTCCAAGTTTCTTGTCATTTCAAAGATCTGAGTGCTTGCTTGCTTAGATCATCATCTTGAGTCATTTGCATAAGCAGAATGTGTCTTGTCTGTTGTGACGTTTCCTATACTTATCGCTTTACAACATTTTCACAATGAGGTACCAGCTAATACATCAAAGGAAAGACTGTTAATCTCCGAAAACGGATCTGCCAGTACTTCGCTCCTACATGCTGCAAGCTAGCAGCATCGTGTCGAAGTCTGCCGTGTCTTGACTCCAACACTGAGATGC